CTATCAAGTGATATTTACACAGTCTTTTATCCAAAGTCTCTACTGTGTTCTGCATAATTATAGTGTTGCTCAGCAAAATATAGGTGGACAGAATAGTAATTCCTTTATTGCTATCTTGCTTTATTGCATATTCACAGGTAGCCTACACCCTGCAGGTCTATAATAATAATAATAATAATAATAATAATAATAATAATAATAATAATAATAATAATAATAATAATAATAATAATAATAATAATAATAACAATTATTATTATTATTATTATTATTATTATTATTATTCTATATATTAGTGCCTTCTGTAAGCATTGATGAATTGTGACCATTTGTGGAAAGGAACTTTCTGTGTCCAGACAATTTTTACAGTATTTGTAGGAGCCATCTAGCAATGAGGGTCAGCCCAGCCAGCCACTGTCAGCTATGTTGAAGCAGTTTCATGGAATTGATGGCATGTATTGCAAAACACAGCCAGCAGCGGCAAAATCTAGAGCCCAGGTTGGTTTTTTTTTTTTTTGTTTTTTTTTTTTTCTCAACTCTTTATATATTAGAAATAAATGAATGACTCTCTAATGGTTTTTACCCAAACAGATCACAGATATCCAGGAACATGAGGTGGGATAGTGCCCTCTGAGACAGCTTCAGAGGCAGAAATGCCAAAAATAAATTAACTGAGACTCAAAGAGGGTAAAGACAAAGGAGAAAGAAATTAAAGCAATAAAGTTATTTAGAAGTGAATGTGACAGAAAGGAAAAAAAATATACACTGTAAAATCCAACCGACCATGAGTAAGTTCTGTTTCCTCAGTGTCCAGTGAATTGCAACATCCCCCACCCAGGTTTTTCCTACATGTCTTATCTGAATTCTGCAGCTTTACATTGAGCTCTTTCTTCGTGTAAGGAATCCAATTGTCTTCAGAGATGCCTACAGTTTGGACGGCAGTGGTTAAACTCCTGAAGTGTCTGTGTGCCTACGACAATACAGAGAACCCAGAGTCACAGCTCACCATAAACTGAACATGTTCATACCCCTGTAGTAGCTGAACTTAAACTCACTAATAGACGTGTTTCAGCTTTTTAAGAGCTATACATATATGTAACACTTAAGTCACAACTTTTGCAGCACCTTAACTTCACTATAACAAAAAGTATAACATATATTTTAAGCATCACTTTATGTAGAGCAAATTTAATTGCTCTCCTGTCAGTTAGTTTCCACCGATATCTGTGTGTGCTTTTCAAATAACAAGGTAATAGGGAGTTTAAAACCAGAGGTTGTCATCTGACCTACTATCCTTTTCTTCTTTTTTGTTTTTGAGAAAATTTCTACACTTCAAGTTAATTGTTTTGAAAAAATGTGTTCTTACATGGAAGCAAGCTTATTAAGTGACTTGAGGAAAGACAAGTGAAATTAAACTGAAGGCAACGTAATCCATAGAGGCAGAGAGAACTAGTGTTCTGCAGGCAGAATCTTCTATTTAACTATCTATTTTCAGGATGCATAGCTCTGTAGCCTTAGACCCTATCACTCTGGTAGTGATGACTTAACATAAACATGTTAAGTGAAACAAGAGGGTTTGTTTTTGCCTCAGAATGGACGAAATTTATAGAGATTATCTGCAGGATTTCCCTTTGGTTTCTGTTGAAATCATGATTACAAATGATCATATAAAAGTTTATCAACCTTCTTGGTGGTGCCGATGTAGATGACAATGAATGGGGTTTATTTGTCTTGTTTCAGGATTCTGTATTTGGAAGATGTAACGTCAGAGTTTCCCATTTTCTCCCGAATTAACATGCAGTCCTATTGTCCTTCTCATATGAACTGCAATACTTTCTTCATTAGCATATGCTGTTAATATGTTCATTAAATTCATGTCACATTGTAATTAATCTGAAAATGATGTCATTTCTGCAGAACCTACAACCTCATTATGTTCACAGTATGTACATCACAGCCATGTTCTTTCTGAAAGAGGTATGCCTCTATTTGGTTATTAATCAAGGGGTCATTTCTGCCCAATTTACAGTGATTAATTCTTTACAGGAAATCATTCTGAAGCCTTGGAGTAAGATACTAAGCAGAAAAATTATTATATGCTTTAAGAAAAAAAAATGTTGCATAGCAGCATTTATTTGTATAGCACATTTAATAATCCATTAAAAAAACCACACAACTAACCAAACAAAAACAAAAAACAAAACAAAACAAAACAAAAAAAAAACCCCAAACCCCCGACAGGTTAAATTCAGCACACCAAGGTCAGTTTATAAGGCTGAGTAGGATCAAAAATTTATGAGTATCTAGTAACTATCAGTTTCCAAACAGAGCAATGATATTTGATTTCTAAGGAGTAAGGTGATGGTGAATCTGATTTTAAAGTCATACTGAGCAAAAAATGATTGGCCTGTGAATAGTTGTCCATATTGTATAGATAAATCAAAATTATCCTAATCAAGTATTGCTAAAAAATACATGTTTAGTCTCCAGATCAGTATGACAGATTTCAGCCCACTGTTTCATTTCCAGCAATTTGTAACAAAATAAAAATGTAAAAAACTATCTTTCCTTGTAGGTAAGTGTTATCCTCTCTAATAAAAAATGTTTTTTACCACAGTACAAGTTTTTTTCCTTTTAAATTGTAAAGAAATGTGCTTTTATATCATATTTTCCACAGTGGTTTACATCAAGTATCTATTTATAAATGTAAGCAAACTTACGGTCATCATAAAAGAAGTATCTCATAGGTGGCTTTTGAAAATGAGAAGAAATTTACTGGGATGATCAGCTATACAACTACACTTTACTAATAAGAAATTCGTGATCATTAGTGGCAGGGATTAACATAGAGTGGGAACGCAAGATAAATTCCCAATCTGACTGATACCAAATACCACGACTTTCTGCGGTCCCAGATTTCACACTCAGCATTTGGCATCTGAACAGCTGATTGCCAGTCTATCAGCTACTGCCCGTGCAGATTTCATGCTGCCTCAGGTTCTGGGTCCTTTGGAGGAATCGCAGCGAACAGGAGGCACGTTCCAAGAACTACACCTTTAGTTTTTCAGGAGCAGCATCGCAACAACAATCAAAGGAGACATTAGTGAATAAATGTATTTTAATAATTGATATTATGGCTCTCTGTAAATATCGATAAGATACTCACTTTAGTAAAGTGTTTCTGAGAAAGAGGAAGAGCAAACGGTAAATTCTGGAAAGGAAGTAATGCTTGGCAAGGTCCTTTTTAACTTCTTTCTCAAAAAGCTGCGCTAATCACGTCTATAATAAATTTTGATTTCTTCAGAATTAGGGGGATGGAGATCTTAGACTGCAGCCTGCTTGTAAGAACAGTGTGGCAAACAAACTTCATAGTTCTGAGAGGAAACTCAGCATATTTATGAATGGGATTATTGGTGTGGTTGCCTGCTGCAGCAGGGAAAAGATTCACTGCCCCCGGAGGCAACTTTCCAGTCCTGTGCCAACTCATATGATTATTTAGATCCTCTAAAAAGTCTCTCTGAAGCCCTGTAGCGGCGCAGGGAAAAGGCGGACTGATGTTTCAGATGGCTGCAGAGGAAGGTGGGATGTGAAAGGAAGGAAAACTTGAAAAGCAAACATGGGGTACAACCTAAAGAAATGCTTTTTGATTTGTTTTTTGTTTTTTTTTTTTTTTTTTAATGAAATTTTGAAGAATGCACGCATGTCAATTTTTAGAATAAATTCTGCACTGATGAAATACAACTGATTGAGTTGTATTTCAAGCAATCAGAAATAGCCATCTCCCTTTTGCAGTAACAGGTTCTGACACAAATCAGTGTCAGCTGCACGTGACAGAGGTGTTTATGCAGAAAGTTAACCTGCGAGTATTCTTTAAACCACGAATGACAGAAAACGGACTTACGCGCACTAAACTCCCTGTATGTACACAGACACACACACACAGAGCCACTCAGCCATAAAACCAAGCGTGGAGGGCACCGTCCCGCTGACCCTCGCGCTCTGATTCGCGTGGCAGGACCATTGCTCGGCCCGAGCCGCAGCGGGGCGCAGGCCTGGGCCCCCCAGCCTGCGCAGCTCGAGCCAGCACCATGGAGCAAGCACCCCACAGCACTCAGCACCCCGCCTGCCTTGCTCAGCACCCCGCAGCGCAGCTGCCCTGTTGGCACCAGTTGCATCGCTGTATTGCTTGTGGCAACGGGAAACCTCAGGGAGCCACGGGCCGGTGAACGGCGGCGTACAGTTTCTCTATATGTTTATTTACCCACTGGGATAACTCGAAGTCTGCAGGTAATTTAGCAATACTGAGGCCGGCGCAGGCACTGAACAGTTCAGCGAGGGGTGAGTTACCGGTCCCTGCAGTGTAACTGGTACTTTGATTCTTGGAAGTTTGCAGAGCTAAGCGGCCACGCCGGGTAACAAGGCGAGATAAGGGAGCGTGTAAACGCATGAGTGCGAGGACAAAGGAAATAAAACTCGGGCCGTACACCCGGGTCTGGCAGGGAGACGCGCTGCTGCAAATCCCCGCCGCAGCGGGAAGGGGGGCGGCGGCGGGTTCCCGCTGCCGGGCGGGACAGAGGCCGCTCGGTCCCCGCGGCCCCCGGCCCAGGACCCCCGGCGGCTGCTCCAGGGCCGCGGGCGGGCGGTGGGTGCTCTGGCCTGGCGGGCACCGCCCGCCGGCACCGGCCTCGGCCTGAAGGCGAGACCCAGGCGCGGCGCGGCGCCCGGTGCCGGCGGACACCGCTGCCAGCATCCATCCTCCCGCTCCCACCCGCGGCCCGGGACACGCCGCCCCGCTCGGCTCGGCCCCCGTCCCTGCCTGCGCGCCGGGAGGGCGGCCTCGCCTCGCCTCCCCCGCCCTGCTCCCGCCTCCGGCCCCCCGCCTTCCCCCCCCCCCCCCCCCTCACCTCAGCCGCCCCCCCTCTGTCTGGCTCCCCTCGCTCTGTCTGGCGGCCCCCCCCCCCCTCCCCGTCCCCCCCGTCTCCGCCGCGCTTCTCGCGAGAGCTGGGGATGCCGCCGCCGCCGCCGCGGAGGGGGAGACACTCGGGGGGAGCCAGTGACGTCGGGAGTTTTCCTGAAAGTCAATAACGAGCCCGGCGGAGGCGGCGGGAGGAGCCGAGAGCGGGGCCCGGGCGGCTCCGGGGTGAGTGCGCCGGGGGGAGCCGCCGCCGCCGCCCTCCTGACCCCGCGCATCGATGCTGCGGCCGCGCTGCCCGCCCGGGCGCCTCCCTGCGTAGCGGGGCGCGCAGCTCCATGTAGCCGCCGCCGCCAGCGCCCTGGGGCCGGAGCCGCCTCCTCCCGCCCTCGCGGAGACACCGGCCGCCAGGGACCGCCGAGCCCGGCGGGGGGACAGGGGAGGAGGCAGCGGCGCCCTCCCTCCCCTTCTCCCCGTGGAGCCGCCGTCGCCTTCCGGCTCCGCAGCAGCGCCCGCGGCGCCGCCGCCTCTGCAGGTACGGGGCGGGAGGGGCCGGGCGGCGGCGGCGGCGCGATGGGGGATGCGGGGCGGCGGCGCTGCGCGGCCGGGGGCGGCGGGGAGAGCGGGGCGGGGGCGCCCGTGGCCTAGTGCCGCCGGAGGGGAGGGGAAAGGGGGGGGGTCGCCCTCCCGGCGGCGCGGGGCTGAGGTGGGGAAGGGCGGGGAGGGGGCGTTTCGGCGGGGAGAGGTTATGTAACGGGGGGGGGGGGGGGCGGGGGGGAGGGAGGGAGGGGGCAGGGGCAGGGCAGGGCGCGCGCCCGGGGGCGCTGCCTGCGCGGGCGCGGGGCCGGCGGTTCCCACGCTGGCGGCGGCCCCTCCCCGCCGGGAGCGCGCGCCAAATCCCCCCCGCCCCCCTCCCCGAACTCACCCCCCCAAACCCCCCCCCCCCCGCTTTCCCGCGGCCGTGCGTGCGCCGGGGGCGGCTGCGAGGCGGGATGCTGGGGCCGAGTGTAGTAAAAGGTTTTTGGCTTTTTTTTTTTGTTGTTGTTTTTTGGTTTTGTTTTGGTTTTTTTGTTTGTTTTTTTTTTTTTTTTTTTTTTTTTTTGTATCCGCTGGGAACTTCTGTGCGTGCGTGAGCCCGTGTGCGTGCGTGGGGAGCGTGTGCCCGCGCCCGCGCCCCCGCGCCCAGAGCAGCTTCGCGGGCAGCGCCGCGCTCGAGGGATGCTGCTGCTGCTGCTGCTGCTGCCGCCGCCGCCGCCGCCGCCGGGCCCGGCGGCAAGTAAACAAACCGGCCCCCCCGCCCGCCCCGGCCATCATGGAGGCCGCGGCCCACATGCCCAAGTCGATGCGCAGCCGGCTGTGAGGGGTTACGGGCCGCGTTACCGGGCGGGGGGTGTGTGTGTGTGTGTGTGGGGGGGGGGGGGGGGGGGGGGGTGGAGGGGCCTGTCCCGCCCGGGGCGGGGAGCGGGGGGGTGTTGGCATCCCGGGGGGTGGGGGGGGCCCCCCGTGCAGGTGCTCGTCCGGAGGCACTGCGGGTGCGCGGGGCGGGTCTGTTTTGGCAGGTCAGCCCGGCGCCTCTGAACGAAAAGTTATCGGATCACCCCGGTATATATTGCTGTTTAAATGCAAATGACCGTGAGGTAACGAGCGTTGACAGGCTTATAGGCTGCTGGGCTCCTTTATGGGAGCAGCGCTGCTTCTTAGTTTACTTTTGGATGGGAACCTAAGAGGCATGACATGGCCAGTGCTGTTTCTTCCACGTTCTCCCATGATACATTATTTAAAGGGTGTATGTAACCAAAAACAAAACCAAAAAACCTTATTTTCTTACAGCTGAAAAGGAATAAACAATTTAATCTCTCTTGGCCTTTATTATATTTTTTTTTCTTTCATATGATTATTAGCGGACTGACTACTTGTATATATCTGCATCATCACATCATTTTTATGAAAGCATGCCTCTGGCTTGTTTCAGTTAGCTTCTGTTTAGGAGTTTTATTATGAAAATTATGATATACCTTATATCTGCACTGCCAGCTTTTTTTCAATACTGAAGAAACTTGCAGCAGCCTCTACTGCTAACATTTAAGTTTCACTAAAGTTTTGATAATAGGCAAACATGGTTCCCCACATTTTGCGTACAGTCGTCTTTATTTCTCAAGGTGAGGAGCATGCAAATAAGTAGATCTAAACTTCTGACAAGTGACATTTTACGCATGATCTCCTATTGCTGCCAGCTGCTCTATAGGCCTGTTCTGCACTGGAATATGGAAAGAGTGTTCATGAGATAGGGATGGAAGCTTATTTTGCCTTTTAAAGTAAGTGTATTACTTAAGGAGATTCTGTTTGTAGGACTGTTTTTTGTTTGTTTGTTTGTTTGTGAGTTTTTTGTTTGTTTGTTTGTTTGTGAGTTTTTTGTTTGTTTGTTTGTTTGTTTTGTTTGTTTTTGGCAGGAGCCTTTCAGTTGACCCCAATATCTTTAATTGGATTGAATTGCTAATTATAGTCCTTGTGGGTATATTTTGGTTGGATGCAACCAGTAAGTCAAGTTCAAATAAGGGCCAAAGAAAAACTGCAGAGATAAGCAAATGTCTCTGTTTCCTAGAAGGCTACACAAAATATTTGAATAATTCATTTTTTCTCTAATGTAAGTGTGTGGTGTGTGCGTATACACAGGCAATATTAACAAGCCTGTCTTGTTTTAGACGGTTTATTCTATGTTGTGTTCCTACTTACACTAAGTAGGCTTGAACAAATTCAGTAGTCTCCTTAGTTTCATAAATAGGTTCATAGAAAGCAGTAGTTCAGTGTCCTACTCTCTCATTTCTTTTGTGTTTTGGGACAAGATGATGTGTTGTTAAGCAAAATGCTGCTGTTCTATAGGATGTCAATGGGAATTCAGACAGGTATTGGTTTTCATTTTGCCCCAGTTGAAGAAGGTAAAGTTTTAAGGATTGTGTGGCATTAATTTGAGCTAGAAAATGTTGACTTCTTGACAAATGCTTTGTGAAAGGGAAAACAGTTCAGTGTTTTTTTTTCAGCTTAACCTGAAAACACTTACTAGAGCTTTGCTACTGTTTGTAACCCAAGCTTCTGTTTGCAAGATGTTACCAGAAACCGTATCTTGTCTCCCGACTAGAGTTTGAAACAGCATGTGTCTGAAGTTTGTATAATAACTGAAAGATCCTTTAGACTACTTGGAATTTCTCTAGCACTGATTGGTTAAGTCTTCTTTCACTTTCTGGGTGCACATTTTCCCAGTTTAAATAGACCTACTGAATAATCATTTCTATACCCAGGAAGCAATATTTGCTAAATAACTTTGAAATACTCAATTGTTTTGGAAGGTACAACGCCTTTAATACAGAGATCTGTGTTAAAATATATTTGAAATATCCGTGCTGTTCTTGGTATAAAGGAGAAATAGTTTCTTATAACTGGTTATAGTTTCATTTTGTGCTGTTAAGGCAGCGGGGGGAGGTGGACTTGGTGACGTGGTTGCTTAGTTTTCTTTCAGTTTTGCAAGATACACCCAATAGTCTTTGACATCTTTTATGGCTTGGGCATACTGCTAATTTTAATTGATGGCTGGAGAGTGGAAGGACATTGAAATACACTGAGTCAAAACTTTGTTGAACTGTATTTCCATTTTGATATGGATAATGCAAAAAATGAATTTATTTGCTTTAAAAATATTGTACCATGCTGTAATTGTATGTTTTGTAGGTATATTAGTTGTTAATGTACCAAAAGCCCTCTGTTCCCTTTTCCCAACTAATAAAAAAAGCATTCCATTCAAGATGTGCAGTACTCCCTTTGCGAACCACAGTAACAGTTCAAAAAGAGGGGAATAGATAAACTTGAGCATCCATGAGTTTCATTTGACATTAAAATGTTGCTTTTGTTTTCAGTGTTTGTATGAAATTTACACCTTGCTGTTTTAAGTCCTGTCTTCTATAAGAAGAGACTGCTAACTTCAGTGCCCTTTAAAATTATTCTAGAATATTAGATTGATTTGTGTCATCTTGGATTCTCGTTTTGTTAGGATATGCCCAAAAAGAATACCGTGGAGGGGGCAGGAGATACTTTCTAGCACAGTGTGTTCCTCAGGGAGTTCTGCATTGCTCGTGAGGAAAGGTGTGTTTTCAGTGACAATCTCTCTTCTCAACCAGTACCTTTCCTCTTGGTTGTACAGAAGAGACTTTCCCAGTGTTGCAGGTGTCCTTGGTAAACATGTTGCAACAAGTTGCTGTGGTGTAGAAAAGATCATTTTCTAAAGATGTTACATAGTAAATGGAGAAGCCAATTCAAAGTGTTCAAAAAAAAAAATCTGTTAAATCCAGAGAAACAAAAACTACTGGCAAATAAAAAACATTAAATGTGAAAGTTAACTTTTTAGTTTTTTGCAAGTGTAAAAAGTCATCTTTCAAGTTCTGGTTTATGTTTTCAACCTAATTGTGTGAACAACTTTCTGGGCTAACTATATGAAGAGGAGAATTTATAAATTAAACTTATTTAGACAAATCACTAATATATACTAATAAAAAGACGGCAGAAAACGCAAGGAGTTGATTATTTGGCATTTTCTCCTTGTTCCATAGTTCTAGGTCAACATTAAGTGCGGGCATTCAGGTAGTTTTGGTGCATGTCATGGATTTCAAACAGTTTCTTTTTGTATTTATTATGTAAAGGTGTTGTTCAGGTATAGTAGGAAGCTGTGGCAAAATTAATACTTCCAAGAAAATTCTCCCAGAACTGAGTATCATTAAATGTTACTGCCAAGGAGAGTAAGCATTTTTGGTTTGTGTATATGAAGATGCTTACTATTCATCACTTCACATGTTTCTTTGATATTTGATACTATTTGTGTCAAAACTTATTATATCTAGATTAACTAATATATGTTGAGTCCATCTTGACCAATCCTCTTTTTCCACATATTTCTACATGAGTGTCTAGGTGTGAGCCATACTGTTCAAAACCAGCATTAAGAACAAGTTTTTGCCTTGTGATTTTTCTTTTTTTTTTTTTTTCCTCTAATATCCTGACTGAAGTACAGTAGTAGTTTTAAAATTCCCTTAAGGATGCAACTGGGACCTCAGTATTTCTTATGCAAGTCTGAATGACTCAACAGCATGGTTTGTCAGACTTCCCTGCATTGTCCATGTGGTAAAGTTATTTGAGTGCCTCGTGTAGCAGGAGCAGAGGTGAAGAGCCTGCTTCAGCTTCACTGAGGTCAATGAAGGTCTTACCACTGCCTTTTGGTGGGTGTGGAATGGCAGTGCCCAACAGTCAAAAACTTCTTGTACGCTTGATTCAATGCCACAGAATTAATACGGTACTTCTCAACTGAGTCTCAGCAATCTTGGAAAACAATTTCTACCAACACATACAATTTTTTTTCCCTAAGCATTTAGTATGCTCCTCAAGATAGATGATCGGTTCTGCTTGCCTTGTGAGATCTTCTAATAATTGTTATATCTTTTTCTATATGTATTGCTTTACTTCGAGGCAGAGGGTTAAGGTTGTATATGTGAG